GACCAGGGACTGAACCCATGCCCTCAGCAGTGAAAGCACAAAGTCCTAACCACCGGACCACCAGGGAATTCCCTGGAAATTTTCTTGAAATACTCTTTTTCTTTTTAAATTTTATACAAAATTTTATTGACATATAGTTGATTTACAATGTTGTGTTAATTTCAACTGTACAGCAAAGTGATTCAGTTATACATATATATATACACATTCTTTTTCATATTCTTTTCCAGTATGGTTTATCACAGGATATTGAATATAGTTCCCTATGCTATATGGTAGGACTTTGTTGTTTATATCTTAAATTGTTTTTTAATTAATTATTTATTTTTGGCTGTGTTGGGTCTTCTTTGCTGCGCGCAGGCTTTCTCTAGTTGTGGTGAGCGGGGGCTACTCTTCGTCGTGGTGCGCGGGCTTCTCATTGCGGTGGCTTCTCTTGTTGCAGAGCATGGGCTCTAGGCACGCGGGCTTCCGTAGTTGTGGCTCGCAGGGCTCTAGAGCGCAGGCTCAGTAGTTGGCCGCATGGGCTTCGTTGCTCTGTGGCATGTGGGATCTTCCTGGACCAGGGCTCGAACCTGTGTCCCCTGCATCGGCAGGCGGATTCTTAACCACTGCGCCACCAGGGAAGCCCCCCTCTTGAAATATTCTTAAGCAAAATTTCACCAAATGGGGGACTTCCCTGGTGTCCAGTGGTAACGACTCCATGCTCCCAATGCAGGGGGCCTGGGTTCGATCACCGGTGAGGGAATTGGATCCTGCATGCTGCAACTGAGACCCGGCGCAGCCAAATAAATAAATAAATAAAATTTTAAAAATCACCAAATGTAGTTTAGGTACCACTTTGTCACTTAATGGAAATAAATCACACACTGACCACTCTTACCTGATAAATAGGGAAATTTGTGACTCAGATTGTACTAACACATGGTAGGTGTCCCATAAATATTTTGTTGATGAGTGGATAAAGTTTATGGTTATTTTTGCAGCCAAATAAAAACTTTTTAAAAGATGATTTCATTTAATCAAACAACTAGTTATGAATACAGTGCATTCATATTTTCCCCTATGTTTGTAGTATTGATGTTTCCTATGTTGTAGTGCCAAGCGTAGGAATGTAGGCCCATTGGTACTCATGCATTGATGGTGGGTGTTATAGACTGAGTAATCCTGAAAGAAAATCAGACCATGGTGGTGAATAATTGTCAAAGGTGTTTTTTTTTGTTTTTTTAAAAAATTTTCTTTATTTAATTTATTTATTTTTGGCTGCGTTGGCTCTTTGTTGTTGCGCGCGGGCTTTCTCTAATTGCGGTGAGTGGGGGCTACTCTTCCTTGCGGTGGTTGGGCTTCTCATTGCGGTGGCCTCTCTTGTTGCGGAGCACAGGCTCTAGGCATGCAGGCTTCAGTAGCTGTGGCTCGCGGGCTCTAGAGGGCAGGCTCAGTAGTTGTGGCACACGGGCCCAGTTGCTCCGCGGCATGTGGGATCTTCCCGGACCAGGGCTCAAACCCATGTCCCCTGCATTAGCAGGCGGATTCTTAACCACTGTGCCACCAGGGAAGCCCAAAGGTGTTTTCTTATTATTTTTTTTAATTTAAAAAAAATTTTATTGAAATATAGTTGATTTACAATGTAGTATTAGTTTCCAGTTTATTCTTTTTTTTCTTTTAACATCTTCATTGGAGTATAATTGCTTTACAATGGTGTGTTAGTTTCTGCTTTATAACAAAGTGAATCAGCTATACGTATACATATATCCCCATATCTCCTCCCTCTTGCGTCTCCCTCCCACCTTCCCTATCCCACCCCTCTAGGTGGTCCCAAAGCACCGAGCTGATCTCCCTGTGCTATGCGGCTGCTTCCCACTAGCTATCGGTTTTACATTTGGTAGTGTATATATGTCCATACCACTCTCTCACTTCGTCCCAGCTTACCCTTCCACCTCCCCATTTCCTCAAGTCCATTCTCTATGTCTGCGTCTTTATTCCTGTCCTGCCCCTAGGTTCTTCAGAACCATTTTTTAAAGGTGTTTTATTATTAAATTATGGCATCTGAGAAGCTATGAGGTCTTAACCTACTTTACACCTTCCTGGTATAGAACTAAGGCATGATGAGCCAACTGTGTGCATTTTTTCCCAACTCCTTGTTCAGTGACCAGCATTTTGGTAGCTTGAATTTTGACATATTGGGAATATTTATAGCATGGAAATTGGCCTGTGTTACAAATCAGGTTCCCTCTAGAGCTGTTTGTTAAGCATTTACCAGCACATCTGTGCTCGCTCTCCTCCCCCAGTCATTCTTCTAATTGCTTTGTTCCTTGCCTGCTGTTAGAGCACAGAGGAGGCAGGAAAGCAGAGTCAGACACATAGATGGAATGTAGATTCCCTCCATCTGATAGCACTGGGACCTGGAACAAGTTATATAACCTCTCCAATACCCCGTTTCCTCCTTAATAAAGTGGGGTTGGTAATAGGCCCACCTCAGGGTTGAGAGGATGAAATGAAATGATGTATGGTGAGCACCTAGCAGTGGCTGGTGCATGGTAAGTGTTCAAAAAGTAGTGTCTACTGCCAGTACTGATAGTCATTCATTCAACAAATGCATATGGAAAGGCTGTTTGCAAAGCACTTTTGATTCTGCCTGTATGGGTTTTTTTGTGTGTTTGTTTTTGTTTTTGACCTCGCTGTGTGGCTTGTGGGATCTTTGTTTTGTTCCCTGACCAGGGATCTAATCCAGGCTCATGGCAGTGAAAGCATGGAGTCCTAACCACTGGACTGCCAGGGAATTCCCAGATTCTGCCTGTATGGTTTTAAATGTAAAGATAAGCAAGAATAAAATATCACTCTGAAATTCTGAGCTTTCGAATCGATGTTCGATGTCATGTGGACTGCATACCTGGGCCCTTGAAATATGTCCTGATTTGCTCTCCCTGGACAGATCATTCCCAAGTATGGGCATCTTCTCATCTCCTGTTAGAGCACCTTTGTCCCCCCACCTACCTACCCCCCTCAATAGCCTCGTCACTTCTCCACAACCAGCAATCTTCCTGGCACGTGGCAGATTCCTCACAGACCTGTGCCAACAAGTACTCTTGCATGAGTCATCGGGTAGCTGCTTTTTTATACCCTAAGGTCAAGAATAGAAGGCTTCCTTTCCCTGTGAGAATTTTCTGGCAAAAGTGCTGCCCAGGGCCTCCCTGGTGGCGCAGTGGTTGCTGCTGATGGCGCCTGCTGATGCAGGGAACACGGGTTCGTGCCCTGGTCCGGGAAGATCCCACATGCCGCGGAGCGGCTGGGCCCGTGAGCCATGGCCGCTGTGCCTGCGCGTCTGGAGCCTGTGCTCCGCAACGGGAGAGGCCACAGCAGTGAGAGGCCTGCGTACCGCAAAAAAAAAAAAAAAAAAAAAAAAAAAGTGCTGCCCAAGGGCACACATGAGCTGTTTCCACCAGCTGTTTCCATCACTGGTTCTCATCCCCTCCTCGCCCATTCAGGACGATGTTGTGCTCAGAAGGGCATCCCAAACGTCGGGCAGCCTTCACCTCAACATCCCTTTAGTGAGAAAGAAGATTATTTGTAGGAAAAATGGTAATGTTAAATTCTAAACCCTTCAGATTCTTACAGGTACAAGTGACACTGAGATTGAAGTAATTGGGACTAGAGGAATTTGTGGGAAGGGCGAACATTAACCTCTTCATACTCTTCAAATATTAAGTGTTCACAAAGCTTCAAGACTCCTGCTTCCTGCACACACAGGCTTCCTGTGGAATTTTTCAAACACTTTGAAGTGCATCTTTTCAACTTGATCCATTTTTCAGTACTTAAATTTCAGAGCTGTTTTAAAACGTGGAAACACTCAAGACAAGTACGAGTTCTTTCATGTTGGGAGTGCCTTTGCCATCAGTTTGAAACTGTGCTTTATGCAAGCAGCTTGAGAGAGTATAAAAATGTAAACCTTGGCATTAATGAATAGAAGCTAGCACATGTCAAATGCTACATTCCAGCTCATTGAATTAATTAATTGATAGACTGCATCTGAAATATGTCTCATAGAAGCTATTTTTTTGTTAAAATAATTTATCACCATGAGTAATACCCTTGATACCCTATTTCCATAAAGTACTGACAGGCATCAATAATATTTATTGCTCAGCCTTCTATCATATTTTCAGCAGTGTAAATTCTTATGCATAAATCATATTGTTAAAAATTAAAATGATGTGTTTATGTATATTTAATATTCAAATAGTAGACTTTTCAAACGTGATTTTAGACCAGGTTTTTTTTTTTTTTTCCCCCAAAAATAGTCTCACTCAATTCCTCATCAAGAATGAACACACACTTCAGATTTTTCAGGTGGGATCATCTGAAAAACACCACCACCATTCACTTTAAATATTTCCTCACATAGTGTTGTCAGTTATACTTCAAAACAAACAAACATACAAACAAACTCATAGGAAAAGAGACCAGACTTGTGGTTCTCAGAGGCCAGGGGTGAGGAAGAGGGGGATTGGATGATGGTGGTCAAATAGCACAAACTTCCAGTTAGAATATAAATAAGTACTAGGGAGGTAATGTACAACATGGGTACTATAATTAACACTGCTGTATGTTATATATGAACGTTGTTAAGAAAGTAAATCCTAAGAGTTCTCAGCATAACAAAAAAAGTTCTCAAAAAAATTTATATCTATATGAGATGATGGATGTTCACGAAACTTACTGTGGTGATCATTTCATGATGTCTCTAAGTCAGATCATTATGCTGTACACCTTAAACTTATACAGTGCTGTTTGTTAATTACATATCAGTAAAACTGGGGAAAAAAATAAAAAATAGTTTTTAATTTTTCAGAGCCCAACTTGAAAATACTTTAGAACACAATCAGGTCAAATCTTTGGAATTCTAAGTGGCCGAACACCCAGAGGGGATACAATATAATACCTGCCAATTATATGCCTGAACTGAATTCCTTTTTACTAATTTGGACATGTCTTCTCTTTCTCAGTGATACAGGAACAACACCTCCAGAGAGTGGTATTTTTGGATTTATGATAAACTTCTCTGCATTTCTTAGTAAGTACACAATAATTATTATAAATAAATTAAAAATTACCAATCTCATGTGAAGTAAAATGTTACAGTTTATGTATCATTTTTATTGATTGGTCTTTGATCTTTGTTATTGTTTTCTTTGTTTCTATTTCATTTATTTTTGCTCTGATCTTTATGATTTCTTTCCTTCTACTAACTTTGGGTTTTGTTTGCTCTTCTTTCTCTAGCTCCTTTAGGTGTAAGTTTAGATTGTTTATTTGAGATTTTTCTTGTTTCTTGAGGTAGGCTTGTATTGCTATAAACTTCCCTCTTAGATCTGCTTTTGCTGCATCCCATAGGTTTTGGATCATTGTGTTTTCATTGTAATTTGTCTCTAGGTATTTTTTGATTTCCTCTTTGATTTCTTCAGTGATCTCTTGGTTATTTAGTAACGTATTGTTTAGCCTCCATGTGTTTGTGTTTTTTACATTTTTTTCCCTGTAGTTGATTTCTAATCTCATAGCGTTGTGGTCGGAAAAGGTGCTTGATATGATATCAATTTTCTTAAATTTACGGAGGCTTGATTTGTGACCCAAGATGTGATCTATCCTGGAGAATGTTCCTTGCGCACTTGAGAAGAAAGTGTAATCTGCTGTTTTTGGATAGAATGTCCCATAAATATCATTTAAATCTATCTGGTCTATTTTGTCATTTAAAGCTTGTGTTTCCTTATTAATTTTCTGTCTGGATGATCTGTCCATTGGTGTAAGTGAGGTGTTAAAGTCCCCCACTATTATTGTGTCACTGTCGATTTCCTCTTTTATAGCTGTTAGCAGTTGCCTTATGTATTGAGGTGCTCCTATGTGTTGGGTGCATATATATTTATAATTGTTATGTCTTCTTGGATTGATCCCTTGATCATCCAAGGTAGTGTCCTTCCTTGTCTCTTGTAACATTCTTTATTTTAAAGTCTGTTTTATCTGATATGAATATTGCTACTCCAGCTTCCTTTGGATTTCCATTTGCATGGAATATCTTTTTCCATTCCCTCACTTTCAGTCTGTATGTGTCCCTAGGTCTGAAGTGGGTCTCTTGTAGACAGCATATATATGGGTCTTGTTTTCGTATCCATTCAGCAAGCCTGTGTCTTATGGTTAGAGCATTTATTCCAGTCAGGTTTAAGGTAATTATTGATATGTATGTTCCTATTACCATTTTCTTAATTGTTACGGGTTTGTTTTTGTAGGTCCTTTTCTTCTCTTGTGTTTCCCACTTAAAGAAGTTCCTTTAGCATTTGTTGTAGAGCCGGTTTGGTTGGTGCTGAATTCTCTTAGCTTTTGCTTGTCTGTAAAGCTTTTGATTTCTCCATCGAATCTGAATGAGATCCTTGCTGGGTAGAGTAATCTTGGTTGTAGGTTTTTCCCTTTCATCACTTTAAATATACTGTGCCACTCCCTTCTGGCTTGTAGAGTTTCTGCTGAGAAATCAGCTGTTAACCTTATGGGAGTTCCCTTGTATGTTATTTGCCATTTTCCCCTCGTTGCTTCCAATAATTTTTCTTTGTCTTTAATTTGATTACATTAATTAATTTAATTTAATTATTCAGTCTGATTACTCGATGTGTTTCTCCTTGGGTTTCTCCTGCCTGGGACTCTGTGTTTCCTGGACTTGGGTGGCTATTTCCTCTCCCATGTTAGGGAAGTTTTCATCTATAATCTCTTCAAGTATTTTCTCGGGTCCTTTCTCTCTCTCTTCTCCTTCTGGGACCCCTATAGTGCGAATGTTGTTGCCTTTAATGTTTTCCCAGAGGTCCCTTAGGCTGTCTTCATTTCTTTTCATTCTTTTTTCTTTATTCTGTTCCACGGCAGTGAATTCCACCCTTCTGTCTTCCAGGTCACTTATCTGTTCTTCTGCCTCAGTTATTCTGCTTGCTTCCTTCTAGTGTATTTTTCATTTCAGTTATTGTATTGTTCATCTCTGTTTGTTTGTTCTTTAATTCTTCTAGGTCTTTGTTAAACATTTCTGGCATCTTCTCAATCCTTGCCTCCATTCTTTTTCTGAGGTCCTGGATCATCTTCACTATCATTTTTCTGGATTCTTTTTCTGGAAGGTTTCCTATCTCCACTTCATTCAGTTGTTTTTCTGGGGTTTTACCTTGTTCCTTCATCTGGTACATAGCCCTCTGCCTTTTCATCTTGTCTCTTTCTGTGAATGTGGTTTTGGTTCCACAGGGTGCATGATTGTAGTTCTTCTTGCTTCTGCCCTCTTTTATTGTTATTTTTTAACAAACATTATTTTTTAGAACATTTTCAGATTCACAGAAAACTGGAGGAAAAGGTAGAGATTTCCCATATATGCCCTGCTCCCCCGCAGCCCCCCACAGCCTTCTCCATTATCAACATCCCCCCACCAGAGTAATATATTAGTTACAGCTGATGAACCTACATTGCCACATCATTATCACCCAAAGTCAATAGTTTACATTAGGGTTTATGCTTGGTATACGTGATTTTTTAAAAAGTATAACCTTTGCAACTACAGTTTTGCTCTGCTTTAAGAAACTCAAGTGACTAGAAATCCATAGTTATTTTTGGCCTCATTATAGAACTATTCACTTTATCTGGTAATTTGCCACAGGAATTTGAAATGGATTTTAAATGTAATTTCTAAAATTGTGATTTATATCCAATGCATTTGCGTTAAGCCAAAGACACCTAAAATTTAGAAGCTAGTGTTTCTCAGAGTGTGTTCTGAAGGTAACTTACAAGAAAATCCTCTTGGGTGCTGGTTCCAAGGCCTGTTCCAGGGCCACACTGCAGATCTACTGGATCAGAACTTCTGGAAGTGGGGCCCAAGCATATGTGCTGTGAACCAGCACTCTAAGGGACTTGGATACTCACAAAAGCTTTTGAACCAATGACAAAGGTGTTAGCTCACCTGTTAGAGGAAGGGAAAGGTGAAGCATGGAATAGTTTGTCTCCAACTCAGCTATGATTTTTCAGTTCCTCAAATGCACCTGAGATGCAGTTGAGAGGCTACAACGCTCTCTCATGAACCAATTAATGTAAAGACTAAAAAACTCAGTCCTATGGGATGATGAGGGTATTCCATAAACCCTTAACCCTGCAGAACAATCAGGTGTTTGCCAGGGACCCATCATATAACCAGCACTTTCTGGCCCTCTCTACTGATGCAGGGCGGAAGGGGCAGAGGTGCTGGAAACCCTACCTAGTGACTTGACATCTTCAGAATTTGTTCATCCTCCTTGGTAGAGGGAGTTTCACCCCATCACTCATTTGTTGTCTTCTCCTCCCAAGGTTTTGGAGGTGAGCAAGGGGAAGTAGAAATAGGAGTCAGTCAATCCCAGTGCCCTCTTACACCATCCTTGCCCAGAGTCCAGATTTAGAAGACAGATTATTTTATCACTAGCAAGTGATAAATGTAGCTTTTTGCTTCTAGGCGAGGGAGAATCTGACATGAATATCTCTGTTTAAAATGCTCTATGATAAATGATTAGCCTTTAGACTGTTTTTAAAAATTCAGCAAAAAATATTATGGCCATCATAACACTATTGAACACACAGAAATCTACTTTATCCCAACACATGCATGATACCCATCTCATGGACATATAATAATTTATAATTCAGTCCCCTATTGGTAAACATTTAGGCTATTTTTCATTTTGTAATATACAATGCTAAAGTGAATATCTTTTAAACATATCTCTGCATATCTATGTGACTTTTTCTATAAGCTAAATTTGCTGAGTTAAATTTGCTCTCACACTATTCACAAAAGCCAATGGCAATTAAAGAAGTAAACATGAAGAACAAAACCATAAGAGGAGGGACTTTTTCTTATGGTGGTGCAGTGGATAAGAATCTGCCTGCCAGTGCAGGGGACATGGGTTCGAGCCCTGGTCCGGGAAGATCCCACATGCCATGGAACAACTAAGCCCATGCGCCACAACTACTGAGCCCACGCTCCACACCTACTGAAGCCCGCACGCCTAGAGCCCGTGCTCTGCAACAAGAGAAGCCACCGCAAGGAGAAGCCCGACTGCAAAGAAGAGTAGCCCCGCTTGCTGCAACTAGAGAAAGCCCGTGCGCAAGAGTGAAGACCCAACACAGCCAAAAATAAATAAAATTAAATCTTAAAAAAAAAAAAAAAAAGAGGATTTGGATTTAAGTATAGGAAAATATTTTTAAAACCTTAGGATGGAAAAGCTTATCTAAACTTGCACACACAAAACCCCGAAGCTAAATAGAAGAACTGACAGATTTGGGTAGATGAAAATGGAAACTTCTAAGTGATGAAAGATTCACGAAGTTAAAGACAAACAACAGACCAGAAGAACATTTGTAATATTTATAGCAGACAATAGACTAATGTACATAATGTATAAAGAGCAACTACAAATTGAAAATGAACAAACTTAAGAGAAAAATTTAAAAAATGATAAACATACAATTTTCAGAAGAGAAATGTAAATGAGTAGTGACATACTGAAAGTTGCTCAATCTCACTGACTATCAGAGAAATGCAAATTAAACAAACAGGTTGCCATTTTTCATTTGTTAGATTGGCAACAATTAAAAGGACAGGGCATACAGAATTGCTTTCAAACTCTGCTGTGGGAGTATGAATTGCCTCAGTCTTGGAGCAGTTTGGAGCTACTTTTTGGCATTTTAATTGAGCATAGTTTTTTAACGCAGTAATACTACTTCTAGGAATTCATCTTTCAGAAACACTGAAAGTGCGCCAAAGCCTTCTATATAAGGATGTTCACTGAGCATTGTTTGTAATAGGAAAAACATATAATGTAGAAATCTATCATTAGGAGAATGATGAAATAAATATGGCATCTCACTGTATACCATGATGAGGGAGACCTACGTGTACTGACATTGGCAAGATCTCCACGGAACACTTTTATTTTAAAAATTTATTTAGTTATTTATTTTAAATTTTTTTTTTTTTTTTTTTTTTTTTTTTGCGGCACGCGGGCCTCTCCCTGTTGTGGCCTCTCCTGTTGCGGAGCACAGGCTCCGGACGCGCAGGCTCAGTGGCCATGGCTCACGGGCCCAGCCTCTCCGCGGCATGTGGGATCTTCCCGGTCCTGGGCACGAACCCGTGTCCCCTGCATCGGCAGGCGGACTCAACCACTGTGCCACCAGGGAAGCCCCTTAAATTTATTTATTTATGGCTGCGTTGGGTCTTCGTTGCTGTGCGCAGGCTTTCTCTAGTTGCGGCGAGCGGGGTCTACTCTTTGTTGCAGTGCACAGGCTTCTCATTGCAGTGGCTTCTCTTGTTGTGGAGCATGGCCTCTAGGCACACGGGCTTCAGTAGTTGCGGCACGTGGGCTCAGTAGTTGTGGTTCGTGTGCTCTAGAGCTCAGGCTCAGTAGTTGTGGCGCACGGGCTTAGTTGCTCCGCGGCATGTGGGATCTTCCCAGACCAGGGCTCAAACCCGCGTCCCCTGCATTGGCAGGCGGATTCTTAACCACTGTGCCACCAGGGAAGTCCCAACCATGGAACGTTTTTAAATAAATAAAAAAGCAAGTCCCAGAAAAATACGTGCACAATAGCATTTATGTGAAAAGGATAACAGCCAAGACAGTGTGTGTGTGTGTGTGTGTGTGTGTGTGTGTGTGTGTGTATGCGTGTGTGTGTGTACGCGTCAGATGGCGGGGGAGAGTAAGATGGGGTGAGGAAGGGCAGGTGTGAACGAGTGGGGAGACTATTGCAATCAGGAGACTGAAAATACAAATTATTTTAAAAGCCATAAAAACTGTTCATGTGTTTTTCCTTCTAAAAAGTCAAAAAATAAAAATTCATCAGAGTCCCTTTCTTTTTCAGGTGCAGCCACGATGTACACAAGATATAAAATAGTAGAGAAGCAAAACCAAACCAGCTATTTCAGCACTCCTGTTTTTAACTTGGTGTCGTTAGTTCTAGGATTGGTGGGATGCATCGGGTTGGGCATTGTAGCCAATTTCCAGGTATGACCTGAAGTTTTTTTGGTTATTGGGGGTGATGGAGTATATGTATCTGGAGGAGAGAAGCAAGAGCACCAGAGGCACGCTTGTGCCAGCACAGCTCTCAAATAGTTGATGAGTGTATGAATATTGGGATAGTTTGCTTCTTAGAAACAAATCTTCGTCATTTGCAAGTCAGCCCAGCCTAGTACTTGGGAGAGATGGGGTGCGTGTGTGAGAGAGAGCGTGCTTCAGATCATGCTGTGGGCTCTGGGTTGCTCTGTGTTCTTGTTGATGTGGTTTAATGTGCTGGGAGAGCTACTTCAGTCATTGTAACGATTTCATTAACATCGTGAAAACGTTTCTGTGTATGAGCGTGTGTATGTTTACTGATTCTGCTGTTTGGGCCTCTGGTGTTCAATTCAAAGAGAGGCATCTGATCTCTTCCTTTCACAGATGAGGATCTAGGCACATGGAGGTGAAATAATTTGGTCAGGGTTACTCAGCTAATCAGTTGCAGGGCCAAAATATGGCCTTACTGAGCAAATTAACTTATATAACAACTACTGCAGAGTCCACTTGACATATTCTTACTGTGTCAAGTGTTGGAAAAAATCCTACATGTTTTATTCTAATTTTTGGATTCCTTTCATTCCGAAGTCTCTTTCAGGAAGGCATGGTATTTGTCTATGGAGGCAATATTTTATATTTTACAAGTATGTGTTGTATTTCAAATGAGTACTAATATGAGCACTCGCCTTACAGGGTTATTGCTGGGATTCGATGAGATAATGTACAGTGCCCAGCAGTCTGTACTTAGCCGTCTTCACGGTCATCGGTTCATCACTATAGGCCAACACCCTGGAGGGCCTGCTCTGTCATCACCATTGTCCCTTTGTGACCGTAAAAAGGAGGTTACTCCTGGAGGACTTTTGGTTCTGCCTGGGGGTACTCCTTTAACTTTCTTCCCACCAGAAGTGGGTTGATCTTCTGTGACGCTTGCTTTATAAAAACGTGTCAGCCTTCAGTGCTAGCTGGCTGTTCAAGTCCACATCTGCACACTGAAGCTGCAGCAGAGGGGCACTGCCTCCTGGTGTGTACCTGGGAGGCTGATAACCTCAGGACACCACCTGTACCGTCTGCTGTCCACCTGTTCTCTAGTGTCTGCTCCTGCATGAGTCAGACCATTGTCAGAGGGCCCTCTGCCTCACCTGCATCATGTGGGCCTCAGAGAATCACCTTTTCTGCCCTGCACATGCAGGAAGCCATCTGTCATTGGTGGGGGGGACAGTATAATAAAGTGCTCTGGGAAACTCAGTGCTGTGTTGTGAGGGGTGAGGCATCCTTCCTTGTATGACACAGAACCTTCAGGACAACCTAGGGCAGGGATATTCTTCCAGGTCTGGTGGCCAACAAGTTTTCGTTTTGGGATGTTACAAATCCACAACTAACAGTGTTTCCTTGTTAACACTGGTGAAAGCTGAGAGCCAAATTTGTAGCCTCCCTGAAGCAAGCCTATAGGGCTTCCAGGAGGGCATCTTGTGAACTCAGTTTGCTTCCGGCTTCGTTTAACTTTCCTACTCTATTGTCTCTGTGTTAGGAAATAAACATCACTAGTTGCCTATGACATTTGTCATGTGGTAGAGACTCTTGATGACATTTCCTTACGTTTTATGATGGTGTGTGTTTTGGGTTCCATAACAACATTTATTAAAGTTTTCTTTTTTTCTTCTTTCTTTTTCTTATTTGGCCGGGCTGCACGGCTTGTGGGATCTTAGTTCCCCGACCAGGGATTGAACCCTGGCCCCGGCAGTGAGAGCATGGAGTCCTAACCGCTGGACCACCTGGGAATTCTTATTGAAGTTTTCTAGGTGACAGACATTTATGAAAACATTTCATGCTTTAACTCGTATAATTCTAATAATGACCTTAGAAGATAGGTAGTATTATTTTCCTCATTTATCAATGGAGAAATGGAGACCCAGAGAGGTTAATACTCTCCCCAAATCCTGTGAGTCATGAAAAGTCACCTTTGATTGAAGCAGTCTGCCCAGAACCTGTGGGGAAGAGTTAACCTCTAGGCCAGAATGAGAAAATCTCTGTGAGAAAAAAGCATGTACACAATTCACAGTTCTAGGGCTTCCCAGGTGGCGCAGTGCTTAAAGAATCCGCCTGCCAATGCAGGGGACACAGGTTCTAGCCCTGGTCCACAAAGATCCCACATGGTACGGAGCAACTAAGCCCATGCACCACAACTACTGAGCCCGCATGCCGCCGCTACTGAAGCCCACATACCTAGAGCCCACACTCCGCAACAAAGAGAAGCCACCACAATGAGAAGCCCGCACACCGCAACGAGGAGTAGCCCCCGCTTGCCGCAACTAGACAAAAACCTGCGCACAGCAACGAAGACCCAGTGCAGCCAAAAATAAAATAAACTTAAACAAGAAGAATGATAAATTTTTTTTCATAAAATTAGGGCAAAAAAATTCACAGTTCACAGTTCTAGCATCAGAAAGCACGATGGAAAAATTATTTTCAAAGGGAAGGTGGCAACTTGGAAGGATATAAGTTGTCTAGTGGAGTGTGGGTATGACTTGTCCTGTGGGGGGGATAGTATGCACTGTATGATATCCCATCACATTATTCTCGGAATAACTCAACATCACAAGTGATAACGGCCATCAGTGTTTAAACCATAAAGGGCAGACTTCAGGAAGAAGGCTTAGGTGGTTAGATAATTACACTTTTGTTTCCTTTTAAGGTTTCTGTGAAGTGATTACATCTTCACAAGGACCAGAAATAGAATTCCTAACTTTCCTGAGAGCAAAGTGTTTGCCTTGTCATTGTTCCCGTAAATGTATCTTTACAACTTCCTTTTTTGATATCCTGCAATTCACTTTCGGGCGTGCCGTAAGCAAACCTATGTGAGCAGTTGCCTCAAGAAGAATTAGAGATGTGAGGGCGGGAGACAGCATTGGCTGGTGCTTTTTCTTGAGGGGGAGTAAACTGCATTTACCAGGTGTTCACAGCTAGCACTCTTTCCTGCACTGGTGGATAAGATGGCTACTTTTTGGTGTCTCCTCACCAAGCAGTCTCCGTCAGTGCTTTCCTGTCCCTCAAGAAGTCTCCTTTTTGGAAAAGTCAAGTTTCCTGAGGTTGAATCCTCTCAATAGTCTAGTTTTCTCTACTTTTATTATCTTTTTTTTTTTTTTTTTTACCGGTACGCGGGCCTCTTACTGTTGTGGCCTCTCCCATTGCGGAGCACAGGCTCCGGACGTGCAGGCTCAGCGGCCATGGTTCACGGGCCCAGCCGCTCTGTGGCATGTGGGATCTTCCCGGACCGGGGCGCGAACCCGTGTTCCCTGCATCGGCAGGCGGACTCTCAACCACTGCGCCACCAGGGAAGCCCTATTATCTTTTAAATTAACAAGAGTTTCAAAAAGAGCTACTAGGTTTTCATCTTAACCTCTATCCAAAATTCACGTCTGATCTGAGTCGTTTCCCTGCTAAAAGACATCTTTGATGAGCGAATATGTATTCCACAGTGAAAAGGGCACACTGGAAATACACCTCCTGCTAATTCAAGGGCCTTTTGATCTGATTTCATCAGGGCTAATGTGGGTGTCATGAAGCTTGCAGATTAAGATCTGATGTATTGAATTGGCCAGGGTTGAGGAAGCAAGTTTCCTGACAGTGCTAGTGGGGGGTGGAAACAAAGTATGTAAATTCAGGATTTGATTTACTTATTAGCATAGAAAGAAAATGGAGAGTGGAAAGTACCAGGACTATCAGGTTATTCCTAAAACAACCCCAGCTCATTAGCATTAGATGCTTTGCCTTTTATTTTCCCTTGCTCAAATGTGCCTAACATTCAAGGGGTGAAAACGATTTGTTTTTCTTAATTCTTTTATAATTTTTTTGGTTTAATATGGGTTTCCCCCCCAGTTTTATTGAGATATTATTACTGAACCAGGCCCATCTGCCCAACTCGCAGCAAGCCAAACGTTTGCTATGGAACAAGCAAGTTCCTGGCATATACTCCAGTGCCAGGAAGGCTTTTCTCTTGGTCATCTTCTGCAAGCAGCTGTATTTTCCAAAGATGGGGTGTGTGCATCTGTGATGCCTGGTGGCTTGGAGGAACCCAAAGCAAGTGAGTGAGTGTTCGGCTCTTGATGTGCACAGACTCACGCTGAGTAACAGCACATGTGTGACTTTCTCTCTAGGAGTTAACTGTCCCTGTGGTACACGATGGCGGTGCCCTTTTGGCGTTTGTCTGTGGTGTTGTGTACACGCTCCTGCAATCCATCATCTCTTACAAATCGTGTCCCCAGTGGAACAGCCTTTCCACATGCCGCATACGGATGGCCATCTCTGCCGTTTCCTCTGCAGCCATCATCCCCAGTATCCTTTCTTACATTTGTCAGTGTCCTTGCAAGCTTGACACCCTCACTGCCCCACTCCCCTCCAAAAAAAATGGAGAAAGCAAAGGTTAACAGCCAAGTGTCAACAGGCTTCAGAAGAACGATTGGGAGAAACGGGTAAATCATAAGGAAAATATCTCAACGTTGTCTGGGTAAATCAAAAGAATCTTTGGGGAAAAGAATGGTGTGAAAGGAAAATGAAAAACAATGTCAGAACACTTCAGTCTCTATTTACTTTCCTTCCACAGGGTCAGTTTCATGAGCCATGTGAAAATATTTATTTTTCTCTGTAGTGCTTGGCTAAAGACATCAAATATTGATATTGTACTTAAAGTAATAGCCCTGTGGATTCCCAAGAGGCCCGACTTTCCCTTCTCCCCGCACATAGGTGGTTAGATGGTTTGATTTATTCGTCCATATTAAGAGGTTTTAAAAAGCTCTATACTATTTATTTCTAAGTCATTTAAATACATTTAGCCTTTTCTTTTTATCACTGATTTCATTTTCAAAATGAAATTTTATTTTTTCTAATTCAACAATGTGAAAAGAAAATATAAATTTATCATACTTGTATATTCTGATTTAGAAGAAATGAAAAACAACCCTTCCTTCCTTTTTTTTTCCTTTTTCATTCTTTATTTTCCTTTTTTTCCCCCCAAGAGGTATTTAACAAAGAAAAAAAAAGCTGTGGTCTTTCAAGGGTGGAAAATTCCCCATCTTTCAAAATACCATCTGCAGTCATAGCAAATGCTAAAGAGTCATTAAAAATTGGTGATTATTTTCAGACTGTAGGAAAATGGAACTATTTTATTAGCGGTGGTCTTGTTCATCCAAGTTGGGTTGTGGTACAAAGTGGGCAAGCTTGAGTAAAAAGATATTTTGTCATCATGTGCTTCTAAGTATTAAGCCTTGCATTTTTCTTTTAAAATTGGAGCTATAGGAACTTCCTGGTGGCGCAGTGGTGAAGGATCCACCTGCCAATGCAGGGGACATGGGTTCGAGCCCTGGTCCGGGAAGATCCCACATGCTGCAGAGCAACTAAGCCCATGCACCACAACTACTGAGTCTGTGCTCTAGAGCCCATGAGCCACAACTACTGAGCCTGCGTGCCACAACTACTGAAGCCCATGTGCCTAGAGCCCGTGCTCCACCACAAGAGAAGCCACCGCAATGAGAAGCCCGCGCACTGCAATAAAGAGTAGCTCCTGCTCGCTGCAACTAGACAAAGCCTGGGCGCAGCAAAGAAGACCCAATGCAACCAAAAATAAATAAATTAATTTTAAAAATTTCTTAAAAAAAAAATTGGAGCTATACAAAATGTGAAGTCTAAGGATGGTTTTTGTTTTTGTCATTTAGGGAAGAAAAATTTTAGTTACAAAATTTCTAAGCACAGAGGAACCAAATTCTAGTATTGAGAAATTTAACAACAAACTATACACCCTGGTTCCTAAGATAGTTCCTTCTCTGTTTCCTTGTCCTATTTATGGATTGAAGACATTCATGCTTTCTCTTGAGACGGATCTCCTCAAACCTTTCAGCTCGTTTTAGTTGTAAGATTTATAGAACCATTTGTAAAGTCAAAAACAAAGTTTTTTGGTATAGGAAAACTTTCCTTGCTTCCAACTTTGGAGACAGATCTCTAGATACTAAAATGAGAGAGGTTTAGCAGAATTACTTTTTCAAGCCAGAGTTTCACATACTAATAGTTCCCATTTCTAGGAAGTTCGTATGAGCCATGCTGACGGGTAGGATCCCTGAAGAGAAACAGGTTATATGTTTTTATCCAATTAACTTGAAATAATTCATCCATAGGAAAAAGTCTTTTGTCTTAAACATTAGCATGGATTTATATTTCCTTAGAAAGATTTTAAAGTATCTTGAAAATGTCCTTGTTTCTCTTTCCTGTATTAGTTCCGTGAAACCTTATTTGACTCCTGAAGAAACTGAGGCCTGGAATCATGCTTCTGAGCCCTTCCTACTAAACTATCCATCTTGCATTCAGCTTCTGCAGCTTTCAAAAGGCTTCACAAAATCACTAACAATGCAAAGGCCGGTTCCTTTGCGTGAGACGCAGTCTGAGGCTGCCTATTTCACCGACCTCCGTTTTACACTTTCTTCCCTGACTGTGGCTGTTTCCTGTTCTCTGCTTTTGCCCATGCTCTCCTTCTTGCCTGGATAAGCTTCTCCACTTTGTCTTTCTAGAACTGAACTGTCTATCCAACCCAGTAGCCACTGGCCACACGAGGCTGTTGAGCATTGAAACGTGGGTAGTCTGTGTAGAGAAGGGCCGTAAGTGTAAAACACTGGATTTCAAAGACTTAATGAGAAAAAAAATGTAAAATATCTCATTAATAATTGTTTATATTATTACATGTTGAAATGACAACATGTTTGATATATTGGGTTAAATAAGATATGTTAATATTAATTTCATTAGGCTCTTTTTCGTTTCTGTCAATGTGGTGACTATAGTAGAAAATATTGTTACACATATGCCTGAATTTCTGTGGGATGATGCTGTCCTAGAGAGCTCCTCAAACCTCACAGCTTAGATTAAACTCAACTCAGTGTAGCTTCCCTGACACCTCAAACCTCATTTCGCTCCAAATTAATAATCTTCCCTCCGAGTCATGACTGCACCCTGTTCTTTTCTCTCTAACGCGGCACATTCCCTGGGTCCAACAAGGCTGTAATATTTCTGGGAGCTGAGACCAGGTCTTTTTTGCCAGAGTTTTGTCTGCCTCTCCCCCCAACCCACTCCTCCCCAGCATGGGACCTGATGGGACTAAAGATGAGATAAAGAATTAAGTGAAAGAATTAAGAGGCTTTTAAAACTATTAGAAACAGACATACGGTCATGACATGATTAGAGAACCTTTAATGTTCTCTACTTCTTTTTATTTTTTGGCCAGCGGCATGCGGGGTCTTAGTTCCCTGACCAGGGATTGAACCCGCGCCTCCTGCTCTGGAAGCGTGGAGTCTTAACCACTGGACCGCCAGGGAAGTCCCATTCTCTACTTCTTTTACTTTGAGACACTGAGAGGTGTTAAGCATTGCAAAATATGGGACGTGGCGGAGGGCAGGGAGAGAGGGTGCTGGCTCCAAATTCAGAGGAGGCGCTAAACTTGGCATTGATTGACGCAACACCTGGAATTAACATTTTGCAAAAACTTTTAAAGAGCATCCCATTTCTCTCTAGCTTTCTCTTTGGCCTTCTATGTTCAATCAAAATGGTTGTCACCACCTTTGTGCAGACAGTCTTGTCCACGTTGGGCAGTAGCCTCAGTCCCTGGCCTTGTTAGGCTGGCCTCTCAGGATTTGTCCTTCGTCCCCAAGGTCAGATGTAGGATGTATCTTTCTGATTTGTAAACCCTTTGGGCCAGGGAGGAAGGGCTCCGTTTACACCCAGTTACTCAATGGAAAAATCTGTTTTTTTAAATTTTTATAAAGATAATACATTAAATTTCTGTAGCTTGTTTTTGTATATGAGCCTTGGTACTTTGTGATGCTTTGAAATGTTAATTTTTTCCTTGAAGCTGTTGCCTTGAACATAGTATTTTAGGAAAAAGAATTTTAATCAATATTATTATTTAGGGACAATAGTATTTTAGGGGAAAACTACTGTAAAAGTACCCATATTAGACTGCTGTGTCATTTTGACCAAACTTAAACAACAGGGTCAAGCAAAATGTAGCCACAGATTAAAAGTCTTCTATACATAACTGACAAAGTATTGCTAAGGAATGACTACTTCTGTGTTGTATTTTAACTGCTGCCATGATCGAACTTAAGGTTTGAGATGATAAGAAGCTGATATAACTTGTTTGATAGCAGAAATGTTGGCACTAACATGTGAACATTGTGTAATGGTTATATTATTAGAAGAATAACCTATTCTTTATTCTTCTAATAAAGGACCTATTTTCTCCTGTAGTTTCCTTAACAATTTCGTTTTTTAGTGATTGCCTGTGCTTCATTAATTTCTATAACCAAGCTGGAGTGGAATCCAAAAGAGAAGGTAAACTATAAGCTGTTTTCAATATGATTGTCAAACCTGGTTCCTTGAATTATTTTCAAAATTATTTTTTAAAATTTGAAATTAAAATTTTAAACCCTTCAACCATCGAGGCTTAGTAAAAGAGGTGAGATTTAAGGGTAGGGAAACAATGCGAATGAAGGTGTATGGAGGTCAGACGAAGCACCACATGTTAAGCAGAGGTGATGAAAACAGTAGAAGATAGTTTGTATCAGCATAGGGTGAGAAATAAATGTGGTCGGGGATAAGGTTGTGGGGGAATAGTTTGTGCAAGGCTTTAAGAGGTGGGCAGAGGGGCTCATGCTTGATGTAGGTGATCGGCCGCAGGCTTTTGAACAGGAAAGTAATTAAAAGAATATTATTGGAGGGCTTCCCAGGTGGCGCAGTGGTTGAGAGTCCGCCTGCCGATGCAGGGGACACGGGTTCGTGCCCCGTTCCGGGATTATCCCACATGCCGTGGAGTGGCTAGGCCCGTGAGCCATGGCCGCTGAGCCTGCGCGTCCGGAGCCTGTGCTCCGCAACGGGAGAGGCCACAACAGTGAGAGGCCCGCGTACCGCCAAAAAAAAAAGAATATTATTGGAAGAAAATTAGAAGAGACACCTGGGATGTATTGAAGAGGAGAGAGACCGGAGTTAGGATGGCAGAGAGAAGGCAGTTCCACTAGTTTAGATTTTAAATCAAGATTCCCCTAGACTAGAAGAAATAGCATAAGAATGAAAGGACGTGATGAAGTGAAGATGACTTCCAAGTTTTTGTCTTGGGTGAACCAAAGAACCTGTTCTCATGAACAGATAAGATTGGGTCCCTTGGGACTTCCCTGGTGGTCCAGTGGCTAAGACTCAGCACTCCCAATGCAGGGGGCCCAGATTTGATCCCTGGTCACGGAACTAGATCCCACATGCTGCAACTAAGAGTTTGCATGCCGCAACTAAAGATTCCATGTGCCACAACTAAAACATCCTGCGTGCTGCAACTAAGACCCAGCGCAGCCAAATAAATATTTTTTAAAAAGAAGAAGAAAAGATTGGGTCCTTAACAGGAATAAATGATTTCATGGGGAGAAATGGATGGGTTTGGTTTCAGAATCGTTGAATCTGAAGCTATAGTGAAACGCCGAGGAGAAATGTCCAGTTAGACATGGGGGACTAGACCTGGGGTAGGATCAAGAGCCATCAGAGCATAGGGTAGAGTGACGGGTAGTTTCCAGGCCAAACATCAGAACACAAGGAATCAGATGTTTCGAATTAAGATCAACTCATGTCGTTAGTTACCTACAGAGAGAAGGGAGTTAGTGAGGAGCAGCAGTTTTTCCCAAGGGGCAGGTGGAGTTACTGATGTTTTTCAAAGAGCAGTTTCAGGGGCTTTCCTGGTGGTGCAGTGGTTAAGGATCTGCCTGCCAATGCAGGGGACACGGGTTCGAGCCCCGGTCCAGGAAGATGCCGCAGAGCAACTAAGCCCGTGAGCCACAACTACTGAGCCTGTGCTCTACAGCCCGTGAGCCACAACTACTGAGCCCGCCTTGCTACAACTACTGAAGCCCGCGCGGCTAGAGCTCGTGCTCTGCAACAAGAGAAGCCACCACAATGAGAATCCTGCACCCTGCAATGAAGAGCAGCCCCCGCTCGCCGCAACTAGAGAAAGCCCGCATGTAGCAACGAACACCCAATGCAGCCAAAAAAAAAAAAAAAAAAAGCTCAATCCCTTTGTTTAAAAAAAAAAAAAAAAGCAGTTTCAGGGGCTTCCCTGGTGGTCCATTGGTTGACTCCGTGCTTCCACTGCAGGGAGCATGGGTTCGATCCCTGGTCGGGGTAATGGCAGGGTCAGAGGAAGCATTTTCCACCAGAGGGGATTCTGGCAGGTGATGGAAGCCTGCAAGAAGCAAGTGAGAGACTGAAGACGGTGAGGACGAGCCAGGCAGAAGTTAGGAAAAAAAGTGCTTCCTGATAAGGAGAGCTCACAGAAGAGTAGCCCTAGGTGTATTTTACTTCTTAACCACTGGGGGGAGGCCTTCCACCACAAATCAGCAGCTGGGAAGGATTCATCAAAGCATATTCCCCAGTTGAAAAACCTTTTTTCATTTCATTTTCTATCTTAAAAATGTGAAAAGTACCTGGTTTTCTATTCACTCCCCTTCTGTTCCCCAATATCCACGAATGCAAAGAAAACTCTTTACATAAGTTCACGGAACAGAATAATCGTTTAGGTCCTGCCCCAAACTGTGGAGTGCTTCAGAGGTTTCACAGCACATTCCTGTGCATTGACTTAACGTGGTAGGGAGGATAAGAATTATGATGTCCTTGTCCCATTTTACGTAGCAAGGAGATTAGAGCTTTGCCTGCGTTCATATATGTGTAGTGGAAGAGTCTGGACCCCTCCTTCAGTGCACTGTTATTAATATCATGCTACAGAAATCCTCTCCCACCCCCAAATTCTGCTGCTATTTGATTAAGCCATCTTCATTGTCTAGAGATGATAGGAGATGGGGTGGATCCCCTAGTGCTGTCACCTTTGAAAAGGAATTGGCCCCCATTCTCGACCCTGTAACGTAGGCCGGTCAGATTCTCCCCAGAGTGGCCTGGATGAGAACAGTGGGTGGATGTGATCCTCCGTGGGGAGGGTGAGCGGTGGTGTCTGAGAGTTTGATGTGCCTCAATTAGATCTTTGTGGTGGATCAAAGAAAAGAACTGACCTGTAATCTAGCACACTTGTTTGTTCACACTTGTAACCTATGGCAGAGCAGACAGTGAAGTAGGAAGAAAATGTAGGTTATGATTTGAAATCAGAGGGATGGAACTGATGACAGTCCACAGGCTAATTGGGCATGTGGGCTAAAGTCAGAGTTTAGACAAGCATTTTTTACTTAGATGGTGTTTAAAAATGCTTTTTAAAAATGGTTTCCAGTATTTAAAAATCAGGGGAGCTATCACACACACACACACACACACACACACACACACACACACACACACTCCGTGGGCCTTTTTTTGGCCCCACCGCATGGCATGTGGGATCTTAGTTTCCTGACTAGGGATCAAACCCGAGCCCCCTGCATTGGAAGCACAGAGTCTTAACCACTGGACCAACAGGGAAGTCTCTCTCTCTCTCTCTCTTTTTTTAATCTCAAAGGAACACTGGGGTCATACTTTCCTACTGGCGAGAATGGAATTGAGCTGATGGGGCGTGGGCTCCCCATTGTCCCTCTTTTTGCAACCGTCAGTTTCATTTCTTTTTATTAGTTTCCTGGCCTCCAGAGGCAGCTGACTTTGGAACCCCGAATTAAAGCCATTCTCTTTCTTGTCCTCCATTCTCTCATTCCTGCCCCCAAGAAAACAGTCTCATAATTAGCATTTGCTTTGTAGCTGTGCTTACCTTACAACATCAAGCAGACCTATTTTCTGAACTGACGTTTTCTATAGTAACAGAGAAACACAAAACCCAGGGGTGATAGCCAGTTTCCTTTAGATGCATACTTGAAGTCTGGAATAACCACATGGACACTGGGTAGGTGCTTTTCAAGCCTGCCTTTCAACTTTGGGATTCCCAGCTGTGGGAGAGCAAGTCATGCCTTGTATGGAAAGTTCTTTCTTCTGTTGAGTCCAAATTTGCTTTCCACTCTCAGCCGTTTTGTGATCCTTCTTCTGCCTGTTGAGGTTCCACAGACAAGTCTTAAAGCCAGAGTGTGTGAGAACCAGAGAGAACTTTTGGGGTCACTGTATTCACATTCTTATCGGGCAGTTGCCCTGATGTGCATCCACATGGCCTTGCTTACCGTGTTTCCTCGGGGGTTGATTTATGCTCACTGGACAGCTTTTTCCTTTGGCCTGACCTGCTCATTATTATTTCAGTATGTCCACTAAAGTGAATGCATTTAGGCTAAATTCTGTTTCTTTTTTTGTTGTTGCTCTTAGGATTATGTATATCACGTAGTGAGTGCGATCTGTGAATGGACAGTGGCCTTTGGTTTTATTTTCTACTTTCTAACATTCATCTACGATTTCCAGGTAGGTATTTATCAATACAAATGTTATAAGTTATGATGCGGATTAGTAGAAATCCATAGAACATTTCTTGCATTTAACATAAGAGCACTATCTTTTTACCCTTATGTGTTTGAAAAAATATGTAAGTATTGTGCAATTTAGTGTATTCCCAAAGGAAAGCATCTTGAATAGCTCTCCTAAACAAGGAAACGTTCATCTGTCCTCTGCCATTTGATGCTTATGGTCATAGATCCTGGTTATTATTTTTTCAAAGAGGTCTCACAAGTTCCAAATAACAGGAAATATGTCTTTTCTTAAAAATAAAAGTGTGTTGTTGAAAAATGTTCTCAAGGCAGAGAGAAGATGGGACCTTGTCAGATTTGGCAACAGGGAAAATCTTACATTTTGAAACAAGTGAATTACTAGCTAAAAGGTTAGAGAGAAGGCCAAGAAAACTCTTGAGGACCCAACTCGAGCTCAGTAGTGAGATCATCTCTGAGGGGGTGCAAAGCTGTTGGGAGTTTCAGAGCTGGCACTGGAATTGTTTACCTTCTTTTAAACCTTTTTTATTTTTTTAAAAATAGAGTGTCACCCTAAGGATATCCACAGAAATCAATGGTGATGTTTGAAGGAAGGAGAATTCAATCTCACTCAAGGAAAGTGGCAGACAATTTCTAGAAGTGGTACAGAGGATAGACAGGGTTTTAACGCTGCCCTGCGTGGAATTCATCTGCAGCACATCCAGGACTTGAATTTCTTTAAGAATTCCCAATAGTTGTACTATTTCCAAAGGTATGTTTTCCTAGAGAATGTAGAGCATTTATGACATTGTAGCAATGTTTTTATAATTTTCTAAGTAGACACTTTTTTATATTAACAAATTCATTACAGAAAAGATAAGGTGTTCCAGAAAATGGAGACCTCTTATTTTTTGTACAGATTCTGTTTTGTTTCTTTGTCTGTAAGAGATTTATGGAAATACACTAAAGGAGGAATTCATTAAAAAGTAAAATCAGGGAATATTCATTTTAAAATTTCATTTTTAGAGAATGCACTGTATAATTTTATATCTCAAGAGCATCTATAAAATTCAATTTATAATGATCATTAAGATTTCGTTAATAAACTAACACTAAGAGACTATGATTTTTAGATGAACCAAGCAAAATGCTTCTGTTGAAAGGCCTTAATACTACTATGCACATTAACTCAGTGACCACGGAAGACCACGGTTTTGAAATTCTGTCCCCCCCACAGGCCTCCCTGCTCACAGAGACCAAGCTTCTACCTTTGCTGCTAACTGGCAGTCCGTAGTGATGTAACTCCAGGTAGGATTGATTTAGCAAGGCAGCTTAGAAATCAAAAGCCTTCTAACAACAGAGTGAAATGCAGGTGAACAACTAACAGGAAAAACTCACTGGATTCCGGACTGTTGTCTTTACCAGATGAGCGGGGAGAGGGGAGTGTGTCTCAGGGAATATCCAAGTAAGGTAGGATTATGGGAAGGAGACTTTTGCTTAATACTAAACCTCTGCAAAAGCCAGTCTGCAAACAGCATTGCAGATTCCACTTATAAAACTACCCTTTATCGTTACTGGCATAACTTGACATACAGTCTGACTCACAAGCTGCAACTAACACCTTGCATTCATTTTACGCCGGTCAACGTGCTGATGGGAGCGCAGGTCTGAGAGAGGAGAAAGGGGAGCAGGGTGTGTGATGGAGTTTGTTTGCTCCTCTTCTTAATGCCTATGGCTGGATGTTTGCACACTTTACAAAATGTGAAGCAGGTCCTTTGCTCAGCAAGACCTGCACATGGTGCCACTTTTCACCCAAATCAAAAATGACAAATGAAAAGCAGGTCATTCCAGAGGAAGAAGTGGGTCTTGAAATAGGAAGGCTTAGGTTTAGAAGTTGAAGAGAAGGAACTCTTCTTCAGGGACCCTCCAGACCATAAACCCACGTCTGGCCAAGTGGGTCCAGACCTTGAGGGCATATGCCAAGGGCAGAGCAGCCCGCCTGGATAGCTGTGGAGGAAGGAGTGAGACTCAGGGGTGGTCAGCCACTTCTGCAAGGTCACACTCTATTTCCCCTAAAGGTTCAGTGGTGAGAGCCTCAGACCCGCTGCTGGGTTAGTGGTAACTTGTTATAATGCTGTGGCTCTCTGTGTAACACTGGAACTGAAATACTGGTTAAAGCTATGTTCTGCAGAGGGGGAGGAATGCCACTGATCTTTACCGTGGAACCTGCAGTAGAATGAATCCAGAGCTGGGTCTCCCTTGGAACAGACTTTTGTTATCAGCCCTTCTGGATGCATTGTCATTCATTTCTATATCTCTGTGCAAGATTTAGATTGGGAGCTCCTTGAGGGCAGAGTCTGCGCCTTAATCTTTGTCTTTGTAACTCCAGCATTTACCAGGCTGCCTCCTGGTACACAGTAGGTGCTTAATAAATAAATACTCACTGAATGCATGAATGAAGGAATGAGCAAATGAAGGCATGGCTAGGGATATTTGTAGTGCTGCAAAATGAGATTTACTCTGGTTTACTAATTAAGTGCTTAAATAGTCTGTGTCACCTTGTAATATTGACTGTTCTGCTCTGTGTGCTGTAAACGTTTCAGTTGTTTGGGCTTCTCCATTCTATGATGACTCTCTTCATCCTGGACAGTTACCACAGAAATTGTTAAATGGGCTAGACAAAATGGTACACCTGGCTTGGCAAACTGAGAAGGCCAAAAGTCACTCCAGACAATCACGTTCTGCTGATTCCATGAAATCTCTAAAGCTGATCTTATCCATATTCTGGTATTACTTCTAATTTCCATGAACTTGCATTTCCTTGGACCTCATGGCTAAAGGAGTAAAATAAAATGAAATATTTCTTTATTTTAGTAGTTTGTGTCTCTGTTAAATTACAATATGTCGACGGGGTGCTACTATGAAGTATATTTATCCGGGAAAGGATTCTAGCTCCACTTGGACTCTATAAAGGTAGAGTTTAAACCTTATATGTTCTTTTTTTTTTTTTTTTTTTGCGGTACGTGGGTCTCTCACTGTTGTGGCCTCTCTCGTTGTGGAGTACAGGCTCTGGACGCGCAGGCTCAGCAGCCATGGCTCACGGGCCCAGCCGCTCCGCGGCATGTGGGATCTTTGCGTACCGGGGCACGAACCCATGTCCCCTGCATCGGCAAGTGGACTCTCAACCAGTGCGCCACCAGGGAAGCCCACCTTATGTATTCTTAATTCATGTAGATTTGCATGTGGGCAGGATGGCTCATCTTTGTAGAGATTCTTGAATAGTAGTATCAGAAGTTTGCACCAGAAATCCAATCCAAATTTGTTGAAGGAAAAAGGGGCATCTATTGCTTCAAGTAATGAGAAGTCCGGGGGTAGAGCTGGCTATAGGGATGGCTGGATCCACAAGTGCCACCAGGACTCCATCTGTTCTCTCCTTCTCTCAGCTCTGCTTTTCTCTCTGTTGGCATCATTCTCAGGCAGGCTTTCCCCTGGTGGGAGTGAGATGGCTTCTAGAAGACCCAGGCTACAAACTGTCCAGTGGAATGAGAGGGCTTCCTAAAAGTTCCAACCAAAGCTCTCCAATTGAAACTCACTGTCTCTGATTGGCTGCCTTGGGCCACATGCCCATCCTGTAGCCCAGGGAGGCGTGATGATGCTCTGATTGGTCAGACCAGCATCACATGTCCACCTCTGGAGCATTGAGGGGTCCACACCGCCCAAACTACTGGGCTGATGGTGCGGGAAAGTTGTTTCTCAGAAGAAAGGGATGATAAATGGATCTTGCACAGACAAAAAGCTGCAGATTCCACTATGAAATTAAAGTCTTCCCTGACCCCACAGGTCAGAAAAGCCAACCCAGCTTGATTCAGAGCAAACCAAATTTTACCTGCTGCCAATCTTTTCAGGTAAAAAAAAAAGATAAGTAAATGTAAGCCAGGTAGGTAATAATGTACCTTCAGTTAACTTCAAAGTTATGTTTATACTTCTCCAAGCTTCTCGTGTTCTTATTTAACCTCTGTGAGATTGGTCAGGCAGTTAATTGTCACGTGCTTCAAATGAGGAAACTAAGGCAAAGAAAAAGAGGTTCAGTGACCTGTAAGTGGTTCTACCACCGGATGGCAACAGATTCCTGTCTGGGACTCTTGTTTTCTAATCCAGTGCATCTTTTTTTTTTTTCTCCCCAAACATTAACAGAGGATTCCACAGAAATTGTATTTCATAAACCAAATTAAGTACATCAGTGTTGTGCTGTGTTTGGGTTTCCTAACATCCCTTACATGTGGCATGGTCCCATGTTCCCAGTTTTTACTCATTTGGAGACACACTGGTCTGGTATTTGGGCCTGGAATGAGGAAGGGGGAGTGGGAGGAAGATAAGTGGTCTCCATTCTCTCCCATTCCTTGATTCTGGCAAGCCTGGAGGCCCAGCCGTCTCCCCACACACATACTCTTGGTCTGGCTCTGAATACCCCGCATTCTCAAGGCCAGAATGTCATGCATCTGCATCTTGTCTGTTGCACAAGAGAGCAACCACAGCCTCAAGCCCTGGAGGAGAAGCTTCTGACGCTCCTGGGTCACCCCCAGCAGATTCATCTTCTGAAACGAAGGGCAGCGGTATGCCAAACTCACACTGGGAGGGGGTGGTGACCTCCAAAATCAATGCTTGGAAAATGCTGAAGGGGCTACCAGCCATCTGCACTGTGGTTTGGGTCAGGGTGCCATGAGATAGATGATGCCTAGTGAGCCTGCAGCCCAGGTAGTCCCTCAGTGATGAGCAAAGCCCTCCATCCCCAGAGCCGGCTCTACCTTTGGACTCTTCAGTTACGTGAATCTCTTTTTAACTTCGGTAAACTTGAGCTGGATTTCCCATGCTTATTCCTATAAGAGCCCTGACTTAATACAAATACCCAAGAGTTCTCCTAATATGCAAATATAGCAAACTGCTGTTATCTGGACTCACTGTGCTGGGGTGGAAAGATAATTTCTAGATAACAGGTGATTCAACTGTTCCCACTCACAGCCCTTACTCTCTGAACCATGTTTTCTTTTTTTTTAAATCTCGAATCAGTAATATATTGATGTGATTCAAAAATCAAAACGATATAAAAAGGTACTCTGTGAAAAGCCTTTGTACTTTCCTCTACCCACACTTAATTCACCGCTCTTCTGGCAGATAGCCCCTTTTAATGAAAATACAAGCAGAAACACACATTTAAGAACCAGCTTTGAGAAATTTAACTTACTTAGAAATAATAGGCTTTAATTGATGGACCTACCTTGATACATCATTACACCATAGTCTGTAGTATCCATTAGGGTTCACTCTTGGTGTGGTGCACATTCCATGAGTTTTGACAAATGTAGCATGGCATGTAGCTGCTATTGTAGTATCATACAGAATAGTTTCACTGTCCACAAAATCCTTTTGTCATTTTGAAAAAGACAAAGTTGGGACTACCTGTGGAGAGACAGCATAAAATTTTCTCAGTACCAGCTATTCAGGGACTTTTGTTTAACCACCAAGAACATTTCTTTACTTGCTTGCATTATGACTCAGTTCCTGTTAATATTGACTGAGCATCCAACCACAACGAAGATACTGTGAGAAGGGGGCAGGGAGTAGGTAGTGGGAACATGATAGAGAGAGGGCTCCTGTGCCACACCAATCTTTGGTGGGAGTTTGAGATTAGCTCTCCCACAACCATGCATGACCCTTGAAGGGGAGCACCGAAATGGCTAAGGATGCCATGGGGCAGTGAGGCTGGGGGCTGGGGGCCTTTCAGTATGATTAAGGCCCTGGTAGCTGTGAGGTGTGAACTCTGAACTCTTAATATCTTTTGCTTCTGGTTGGTGCAGTAACATGGACTTTGGGTTAGAAACATCTGCTCTCTACTTGCCAAGGAGGCAATCATGGTGGGGTGCAGGCTTCCCCCAGGTAAGTAACAGAAGTCCTCGGTGCTCACACTTGTCAGACGGATGGGCTTGGCATCCTACCTCCAGCAGGTGATGTGGTTGGAGGATGTAGAGTTCTCTGAGCCTCCAGCGGAAGCAGAAGGGTCTCCGGGCTCGGGGTCCCAGGTTCCAGCACTCTTGCTCATCAGGCTAATGTTAGCACAAGTGATAGGAATGCCTGGAAGACAAAATTCACCTTCTTGAACAATCCTGTTGCTTAGGGTCAGCCCAGAGAAGCACATTCCGTGTGCCACCCAAGATATCTGATTTAGGGTGAAGAGTGATGTAGTTAGAGCTGGCCAGCAATTTGACAGCTGCTAACATAACCTTTAACACGTGTATTAAAATGAATACTGAGCTTAGTTCAGTCTGTCATTTCCTCTTAATACTTGAAAAGCCAGAGTTTTGTTTGAAAGTTCCCTCAAAAGGCTCTAGCGGGTGAATTTATTCTTCCGCTTGACCACACTTGGAACTCTGAAGTCAGAACCACCTTGAAACTGAAACCAGGAAAATCCCTGGTCTCTCTGGCCGAGAGAAGCAAAGGTATGCTCTGAGGTTTATTAAATAATTACCCAGTTGCTGACATGTTGTAGGGGAGGGAAGAGCCAAGGTGCTGGCAAGTATGAATAGACGTTAGTGAGGATCTTGTGTCATGGGGCTTATAAATGAGGTAGAACATTTTGGTGTTCCCTGACCTTTGGCTCAAACCGGGGCATGTGTTCTTTTGAGAAGACTCAGTTAACTAGGCCTTGGTGTGCTCTGTCGTTGTTTTGACTGTCTGAAAGACCACAGTCAGCTGTGATCCAATTAATGCTGAAGATACTCAAAAGTCGTTGGCTGTTGGGAGCAGATGCAGCAGTGACTTGAAGAGAAGAAAATGAGAAGTGGGGCTTCCCTGGTGGCACAGTGGTTAAGGATCCACCTGCCAATGCAGGTGACACGGATTCGAGCCCTGGTCCGGGAAGATCCCACATGCCACGCAGCAACTAAGCCCTTGTGCCACAATTACTGAGCCTGCGCTCTAGAGCCCGCAAGCCACAACTACTGAGCCCACGTGCCACAACTACTGAAGCCCGTGTGCCCTAGAGCCCTCGCACCGCAACTACTGAGTCCATGCCATGTGTTTTAGGGCCCGTGTGCCACAACTACTGAGCCTGCATGCTGCAACTACTGAAGCCCACGTGCCTAGAGCCTGTGATCCGCAACAAGAGAAGCCACTGCAATGAGAAGCCCACGCACCTCAACAAAGAGTAGCCCCCGCTCGCCACAACTAGAGAAAGCCCACATGCAGCAAGGAAGACCCAATGCAGCCAAAAAAAGAAAGTGAGAAGTGAGGGAAAAAACCTGGAATTAATTGGCCATTTCGACTTCCCATCTGCAGCTGGTGTGAATGGCAGATGAGGGCAGGTTTCCTAATAAATGGCCCTGAGACTAACTCAGTTCAGAGGTTCAGGGAGGGAGGATGATAACTTCCTTCAATACTCCCCAGACTTCAACCATTTGTGTGTCTCCTTTGCAATTTTTGTCATCCTCTTACTGCAATTTACTGAATATTTTTCACTGACTCACTTTTTAACTATTTTTATTTTAAAAAGAAACTTCTCCCGTTGCTTCTCCTCCTGGACTGCCTGGTTTGGTGAATGGTGTTACCATTCCCTGGGTCACCCAGGGCAGAAACACTCTGCTCCCCAACCCCACCTCATGTTCCATTAACTTTATCTCCTATGTACTGGGTTAAAAGATAATTATCATCCAAACCAGGGCATTCTGGGGAATGAAAGGGACATTATTAATAAGTGAACCAGAAGGAAACTGGGTTTGTCGGAAGCAAACGGGGATATGTGGTTAACCATCTACATGGCCTTGAAACCTCTTCCTCCTCCCCATTCCCACCATCACTACCTTATTTATTCATAATTATTTGCCTTCATAATTATTTGCTTGGACTAGTGCAGTAGCTCACTATCGTTTCCTTAATTTCATTCTTGGTCCTTTCCAACACATCTTACACACTGCACATACACATTTGATATAACAGCCTCTTAAAATCCTTCAGTGGCTCCCCATAACTTCAGGATAAATTTCAAATTCCTTAGTATGGCTTACCAGGCTCTTCACAGATCTGTTCCTTTTTATCCTTCCAGCCTGTGAGCTCATTTATTTATTCATTCATTCAACATTTATTGAGAGTTACTCTGGGTTGGCACCGTGCTAGTCTCTGGAATATAACCATAAATAAGATGGGTTTCTGCCCTCAAGGTATTTATAGTGGAGTGGAGAAACAGCCAAGGAAACACTAGAGTTAAAAAAAAATAAAACAAATAACATGCTATGGTGAAGCACTGCCCTCTCTGACCTCATGGCTCAAAGTGTGTTCCAGGGACCTGGAAGCTTGATAGAAACTCAGAATCTTAGGGCCCCAACCCAGACTCACTAAATCCAAATCTGCGTTTTAGTAAGACGCTTAGGTGGTTCGAGTTAACATTAGTTTGCAAAGCCTGGTCTGTGGGACTGTGCTAGTTGAAGAGCTTGGTTCAGTTCCCTAGGGATGGTCATGCCTGGAGGGAGACTTGGAGGAGGAGATAGAGTTTGCTAAATGAAGGCAAGGTGGGAAAAGGGATTCACCTGTGCTGTGGAACAGAGGCAAGAGAGCTTATGCTGTTTGGTGGGAATTACAAGTTTTTCAGTATCTGGGGACATGGGTTTCAGGTGGGAGCCTCACCTAACTCAGAGATACCTTATTCAAGGAGAAAAAATGATCAACCTCAGCACCTTCATTTCTTCTTTGAGCCCATCTGGAAATGATGATTTAGAACGAATACTTTAATTCATAGAGACAGACAGTAGAATAGGAATGACCAGGAGCTGGAGGGAGGGGAGAATGGGGAGTTACTGTTTAATGGGTACAGAGTATATGTTTTGAGATGATGAAAAAGTTCCGGAAATGGATAGTGGTGGTGGTTACACAACATTGTGAATGTGCTTAATGCCACTAAAACCGTATGCTTCAAAATGGTGAAAGTGGCAAATTCTTATGTTATATATATTTTATCACAATTCTAAAAAAGGAATCTTTGACTTTGGAGTCAAAGACTTGGTTTTCAAGTTCCAGCTTTGATGCCCCAGCAAGTCAGGTAACTTCATGGAACCTCAGTGTCTTCATCTGTAAAATGGGAATAACCATCATACCTGCCTCATAGTCTTGTCATGAAGATTCACTGGAGCAATGCCCGTAAAGCACCTGGGAGCTCGCTGGGTTTTCCTTATGCCCATTAAATATTTAAAAGCATGTTCTTATCCTTAGCACAATGTCTGGCACAGCTAGCCCTTGGCATCACAGTTATTTTTACCCCTTCCACTTCCTCTTTGAGGTAGCAGTGGTTTTCAACTCTTAGCTGCACATTAGAATCACCTGTAGAGTTTTGTAAACAGCCTTTTGCCTGGAGCAACTAAATGAATTTCAGGAATAGAGCAGAAGCATCATTATTCCAGGTGATTCCAATGTGTGGCCAAGGCTGAGAACTGTACTATAGCAGTGGTCCACAAGCCTTAGTGTGTATCAGAATCACCTGGAGGGCTTGTCAAAACAATTCTTGGGTCCCCGCCCCATCCCTCTCCACCCCGAGTTTCAAGTTTAGTAGATACAGAACAGCCTTTCACTTTATTCCATCATCTATGTGGTGGCCCTTTCTTTTTGTTTGCAGTCTACCCACTACTTAACCTCTTCCAGACCCATTACTCAACTGAACTTTTTCTTGAAAACACTTGCCAATAGTCTTCTTCATGCCAATGCTCTCCATATTCTCCAACTGTGGCCTTAGACACAATTCACCATGTCTCAAAATTCTCCTCCTTTGAATTTAGGGCCACTACTCTGGGTCATGTTTTCCTTATTTCTCTTTCCTTCTCCCTCCCCCACTTGGAAGTACGGATTCCCATGTGGGACTCCCATGACCATATTCTGGAATTCCTTTATTTATCCCTTAAAAAGATCACAAGAAGATGTGGCACATATATACAATGGAATATTACTCAGCCATAAAAAGAGACGAAATTGAGCTATTTGTAATGAGGTGGATAGACCTAGAGTCTGTCATACAGAGTGAAGTAAGTCAGAAAGAGAGAGACAAATACCGTATGCTAACACATATATATGGAATTTAAAAAAAAAAAATGTCACGAAAAACCTAGGGGTGAAACAGGAATAAAGACACAGACTTACTAGAGAATGGACTTGAGGCTATGGGGAGGGGGAAGGGTAAACGGTGACAAAGCGATAAAGAGGCATGGACATATATACACTACCAAACGTGAGGTAGTTAGCTAGTGGGAAGCAGCCGCATAGCACAGGGAGATCAGCTCGGTGACCGCCTGGAGGGGTGGGATAGGGAGGGTGGGAGGGAGGGAGACGCAAGCGGGAAGAGATATGGGAATATATGTATATATATAACTGATTCATTTTGTTGTGAAGCTGAAACTAACATACCATTGTAAAGCAATTATACTCCAATAAAGATGTTAAAAAAAAAAATAAAATAAAAAATAAAAAAAAAAAAGATCACAGTCTTAGAAGTGAGACAGACATGGGTTCATATCTTGTACCTGGACAATTTACTCAAACTCTGAGCCTCATTTTCCTTACTGGTGATGATAATAGTGCCCCTGTAAATAATACATCCCTGACACATAACACCCAACTATTATAGGGTTTCGCCTTTAAGAACATGGTAAAATCTTGACCTTGAAGAGAACTCCAGGAGTGGTGGGACTAACCCATAGGATGCAGAGGGCAGAGCCAGGGATATCAAAAACACAGTGTGGAAGAATAAAGCCAGGATTTACCAAGGGGCAAGGAAATGGGCCCAACCAAGGATTTTCCAGGAACGCCTGGGCAGACAGAGAGGTGAGAGATGGGATCTTAGAAAAGGAACTGACCATGAGATTCCCTGTGACTACATTAAAATGTGAGCCTATGGGCTGGTCCATGCACAGGATGGGGGTTGTTAATAGTGCTATCACGAGCTATGAAATGGCCCCAGAGGACGCCCACAAGGGGATTTCAACCCCAGCAGTGTGGAATTCAGTCCCTTTGGCAAGAAACAAAGTGATAAAGGACCTGTTACAGTTTGCACCATTTATTACTGTCGTGTGCAAAACATGATTCGGGGCATTACACAG